GCATCTGTCTATAACGCCCCCATAGTTAAGTAGGCATTTTGAGAACATGTCAGTTGTTGTATAACACACCACCCAGATCCGGAAACAGGGTACATAACCATTCTGTGCGCTGGTCTGTTGTTTAGTAAAATCAGTACTATAATACATGACGCTGAATCTGTCATATGTTCATAGGAGAGTAGAAGCTGGTTGTGTAAAGTATGTACAGTATGTACTGACCCTCTGTCAATTCCTCAGGGAGCCTACCTGTTCGGGTGGTAGCAGGTTGGTATTTTTAACCATGATACCTGAATTCACTTTAGGTAATGATTGATTGATTGGTTCATTGATTGACTAATTGACGTTAAAGTGCTGGGCATAAAACCCATGGTAGGCAAGCACTCACCACAGAGCCGCACCCCAACTCTCTGGAGGTGATTAATTATCCCAACATGAAACCAAAGACCAATGTTCTGAAAGTTTTTTTTTTTTTTTTTTTTTTATGTGACAGCTGCACAGTAAGGAGAATGAGTCTTTTTTCTTTCTTTCTTTCTTAGTGCCTCAAAGACCAGGCAAATATTGCTTTAAAAAAAAAAAAAAAAAAAAAAAGAGCAGAGTATGTTCCCAAGTTTCCATGTGTGGTAGATGTTGTAGAATTTTAGAGCTAAATTGAGAGCCCAAAGAAGGAACCAGAGAGATCCTCTTTTCCAACGTCCCCATTCTACAGCCAAATGCTCTGCCCCTGAGCTATACCCACAAGGAACCATTCTGTAGCTAAAGCGACTGAGGACCAGAGAAGTTCAGTGATTTTTCTGAAAACCACAAAGCTGGCTTGTCACAGGAGGAAACTGGAAAGTGGACTTCTTGGCTACGTGTCGTGGCCATACAGAAGCCCACATTTCTGCCCGGGGGCTCCCAGCAATGCAGGGAGAACCGCCTTCTGTCTTTTAAGATGAATCGTCAGTAGAAGCAGAAAAAATTCCCTTGCATAGGGGCACACTAGGCCTCTGAATTTCTGGTTCTCAGTCCAGAAAGTCTTGGATTTCAAAGCTCTGATTTCAGTCCTTCTAGAAAACAGCAGTCTAAGCTCTGTAACTCTCCTGTTCTGGTTCTCTGATTCTCCGCTCAGGGGCTGGGAACCAGTCCGGGGTGCAGCTCAGCGGCGGGCACTCGCCTGGCACTCACCATCCCCAGCATCACAAAGGGAAAAAAAGTGACTTAACTGAAAAACACCATTTCCTAAACAATTTATAGACAGAGAGATGTAGCCAGATAGATTGGGTTGGGGGGCTTGCTGTCTGCGGGCAAGCACTGCGTCATGGCTGGTCCGAATCTATAAGGAGGGTAGCTGTGACTAAAATAAAACACAACATCAGCCTTTTCCCCTTTAAAAAAGAATACAAGCTGGGTGTGATGGCACCTGCCTGGCATATGAGAGGCTGAGGCAGGAGGATCATGAGTTGAGGCTAGCCTGGACTACATAGTGAGAGCCTATCTCAAAAAACAAAAGTAAAACAAAAAAAATTTAAAATTTGTATTTCCTCTACCATTTCAGATTTTTACATGTTGCATGCAAATTTAGTCCTACTAAGTGCGATGTATTTTTTATCCCTGAACCTGTGGTATGTAACAATGCCAAAATCACTTGTATAACTAGTTGCGCTGATGGTTGAACCTAATTTGTAGCGTGGTCATTTAATAATACAATTTGTTCACAAGATTTCACCTTTTGGGAACACTTCAATTTATGAAACTTCACATCTTATTTAGATACTAGCAAAGAAGATTTTGCTTTCTCATTTCCTAATTCAAAAATTACCATTTATTTCGCCATTTTTGTTAAATATAATAGGTGACTGTCTTTGTGTGTTCAAGTTAACATTTTTGATTATCTACTAGGAAAAAAAATTGTTTTCCTGGGCATGTAAATTTCTGTGTGTGTTTAGAATTTCTTACCTGTAAAAATTTAACCAGAGCTTAGAGCAACGTCTGCACATGATAGGCACTCAGTTATCATTCGCTGAAGAGGCAGAATCATGTGTGGTCTTTGAAATAAGTCCAAGAGCAACGGACAGTTGGGGATTCGAGCACCTCTGCTTTGTTGTATGATGACTCCCTTTTCCCACCTTTTTTGCACCTTGGCGTGTAGGGGTGCTGGGGGTAGAATCCAGGGCCACAGATACACTAGGGGGGGTGTTCTACCTCTGAGCTGCACCCCAGCCCACAATTTCTTCTTTTTTGTTTTGTTTTTTGTTTTTTGTTTTTTTCCAGTACCGGGAATCAAACTCACAACGTTGCGCTTGCCAGGCAGGCGCCGTGCCGCTGAGCTAAATCCCCAGCCCCTCACAATTTCTTCTTTTAATACGCCTGCCTTTCCCTGCTGCTTTCTCTCCTGATCACCTCTGTAGACTTCCCGGTGGATTTACTGTCCCCTTCTCTGCCTATTTTTAAACTTAATATATTTTGGAGTTTAATTCACCAGACATCTACCAAGTACCTGCTCTGTATGTTTTGCCCCACCCAGGAGCCAAGATGGGAAAACCCAGTAGCTGAAGGACTTGCAGGACTTCTACCCTAGTGACCAGCCTAAATCCACTGAAGTCCAGTGATGGTCTTGTGAGGGCACATAACCACACCTAGCCCTTAGGAGACTTTTTCAAATCCCAAGTGTTTTAGTCACTCCTGTTCAGTGTAGGGGTGGCTTAGCACCATGTCCCCTGGGAGACGCTCAACTTGAGAAGTTCGAAGGCAGTTCCCGGGCCCTTGGGCTCCCTTACCTCCTCGGGCTCCCTTACCTCCTCCATCCTCAGCGGAGAGCGGCTACTGAACACCCAGCGGAAGGAAGGAGCTGCTGTCTGGGTGAAGGATGCTCAGGAATAGCTTCAGAGGAGGTGGGAGGGAATCTACCTGCCGTCTGAACTTGTGCTTCATTTTATTTCCTAATATACAAGGGCTGGGCATGGTGGCACACACCCATAACCCCAACGTTTTGGGAACCTCAGGCAGGAGGATGGCAAGTTCCAGGCCCACTTGGGCCACTTAGCAAAACCTTGTCTCAAAATTGAATTAAGTTCGTAAAGGGCTGAGGACGTAGCTCAGTGGCAGAGTGGCTGCCTAGCACACAGAGCTTTAGGTTTGACCCCCAGCACCACACACGCATAAAATTTTGTGTGTGTATGAACTTACATGTGCTGGAAAGTATGCCAAGGACCAAAGGTAACATACTGAACGAGATCCCTGCCTTCATGGAGAGCACACTGCAGAGAAGACAAAACCTCAGACGTGGTGGCCATGCTCAGAGCCGCGAGCCACAGCGAAAAGTCTCAGCTGAGGAATAGGACCCCTCCCCCTGTGAGAAAGTGCACAGCCACCCCCAGCCCTGGGGAACTAAAAAGAAAGAGGAAGGAAACAGGGAAAGGGAGACAAGATTTGTTTTTACCAAAATTTGGCAATGTTTAAAGATGTCTATTTGAAAGGGTCCAATGCAAAGGGTCTACCTACCAAAAACATCTGCAGAAAGGCTAATTTACTTGTAAGGAATCCCCACTAAGAGGCAAGAGTCCCTTCTCTGACTCTAAGGCTCCAACAATAGCTGGATCGGCAGTAATAAAGCTGATTCAGGGTCCCCTGAGATGAATTTATGAATCTGAGACTCAAGGATACAAATGATCTACTGGAACAAAATTCTGCTGGGGGTGCAGCTCCGTGGTAGAGCGCCTCCTTAGCACGCACAAGACCCTGGGTTCCTTGCCCAGCGCCGAGTAAATAAACAGACCAACACACAAACCCCTAAGCATGCAGAGGACTGTGTCTCTACACTTGCAGTAGAAATGCTACCTGTAGCGCAGTATCTCGAAGAGCCAGCCCTCTGTTCATTCCCTAATCCCACAGCCGTTGACGGAGTGCCTCTGAGCCCTCGAGATGAGTGAGCAAGACACCATCGTGCCCCAAGGAGCTGCTCACCTGGAGAAGGGACCGCCACCCAGCACTGACACCGCACATGTGTAGTAGTGGATGTGGTAGCCAAGCAAGCGCCGCTTTGGAAACCCAGTGCCCAAGAGGCCCCCAAGGAGGGCTTGCAAAGTCGTATTTTACAGAGAGCATTGGTAGGGAGAAAGGAAAACCAACCAAAGTTGAAAAGTGACAGTTTTTGTGAATTGTTTTCCTGAGGATGGACCCCAGGGCCTTGAACATGCCTGGCCCTCCCTCCCCGTGGGGAGCCGCGCCAGCCCCGCAAACAGGTTCATCTCCCCCATTCAGGCCTCATCACGTTCCTCCCTGCCTGTCTTTCCTTTTCTTTGCTTTTCCACTTCCTCACCCCACAAGCAACACAATGGGAGGATATTATCTTTCTGACAGACGTCATTAAGTCAAGGGAATAAACAGGGCTTCTCTCCGCTAAGCATAACGTGCTCTGTGGCCTGGTAAGTGACATAAGACACCATCCACACTTCTGTACCGCAAGGACAGAGTAGATCATACAAACTCCCTGAGAGCGCAGCCTGCGTGTGCACCTCTTTCACCTCTGCGTGGGTCCTGACTTTAGTTCATGAAATGCCCAGGTCATTCTGTACCTGGCGGTACCTCAGATATTGGGACTATGAAAATGAACAGGAGAAGGCCAGTGTCCGTTGTACTGTAGTGGGATAAACAGGCATTGCGAAAAGGGCTCTCCTTAAAGTATATTTGGGGGAAGGAATCATTAGCCGAAAGCCTCACAGAGGGAGTGACATTTGAATTGGGCCATGAGGGATGAATAGGAGTTGGCTGCCTGTTGTTTCATGCGTAAGTGAACATTTCCCTCAGACTCTCTGACGTTCCCCCCAAGATCTCGCCTTCCATTATTTAAAGGAAAATTCAACCTTTATTAAATTGATGATCTGTGCTACGGGCATGAAATAAAACCACTGTCAAAGTGAGGGACAGAAACCAGAAGGTGAGAGGAGCGAGAGCCGGGGGAGCACGGGGACACTAGAGAGAGTGATTTGGTGATTCACCCTGTCCTTCCTCTTCTTCTGCAGCCATCAGGTTTGGGCGGATGCCACAGGCTGAGAAGGAGAAGCTATTGGCCGAGATCTCCAGCGACATCGACCAGCTCACCCCAGAGTGTGCAGACCTCCGGGCCCTGGCCAAGCACCTGTATGATTCATACATCAAGTCCTTCCCTCTGACCAAAGCCAAGGCCCGGGCGATCTTGACAGGAAAGACAACGGACAAATCAGTAAGTCTCCATCGAGCGGCGGGGACGGGGGAGGGGAGGGACATTTCCTCTGAGTCAATGATTCACCCGCGCTTGGGCTGCTGGCCGAAAGACTCTGAAGGAAATGTCTGCAGATAGGCTAGGTAAACATTATTTCAGAAAAGGAAAAGCCCTCCGAGTTGTAGTATCATCCTGGAGACTAGTGACAGAATGCACAGGCCAACTTAACGTTAAGGACAAGCCAGAGCCCACTCATACTACCGCCCTCTCTCAGGACCACTTGTTGGGTGTGGTGCCTCAAGCCTGTAATCCCAGCATTCTGGGAGGCTGAGGCAGGAGGATCGCAAGCTCCAAGCCCAGTCTTGGCAATTTGGAGACTTAGCGAGACCCCATCTCAAAAGAAAAAATACATAAAGCTGGCTAGATATGTAGCTCAGTGTGAAGAGCCTGGGTTAAATCCCCAGAGCCGCAAAAACAAAACAAGCAAACAAAAAACCCACCTGGCCATTCTGGCAGCCCTGCTTTTCTTTGCAAGCTTTTGACCTAGGTTTGGACAAGGTGTCCAGTCCTGCTCTTACTTTTTTTTTTTTTTTTTTTGTCTTTGAGACAGGGTCTCGCTATGCAGTTCAGGCTGGCCTTGAGCTCACTTTGTAACCCAGGCTGGCCTCGAACTCACAACAATCCTCCTGCTTCAGCCTCCTGAGTGCTGGGATTACAGGGGTGTGCCACCACGCCTGCCTGGCTGTGCCCTTACTTTTCTAGAAAAGGAAGAGATTCACTTCTTGCAAAGCTCAACGTGGGGCATGGAGGTTCATTCCAGAAGTTATATAACCTTTCCTATAATCTACCCTGTATATTACATAACCTATGGGGCCTGGTGTTCATTTTGGAGAACTAGAAGCTCTGTTCTTCCACTGCATAAATGAAGTCTTCTGCGGGGATCTGAGCCTCCTCGGCAACTCATATTCAGGGGCCAGGGGTTGACTGTTTCTTTGTTGTTTGTTTTGCTGCACTGGGGAAGAACCCAGGACCTCACCTCTGCTCAGCAAGTGGTCTACCACTGGCCGCAGCCCAGCACTCAGATGGGCTCTTACAGCATCCGCAGACCCACAGAACAGCGCTGTTCAGAGCACTCTGGATGGGTGACCCTCTGTGATTATCACTGAGTGAACTTTTCCAGCAAACGGGACTCTTCCCTGGTAGAAGCTGAGAGAGCAACAAAACAAAAGTACCCCTGGATTCTCATCCCAACTGTGCTGCCGCAGACAGCACCACTGGACAGTGTCTCTGCACCTCGGCGTTTATAGGCAGCGTCTAGCTTTGATTTCAAGGTCGGCAGATGCTCCGGGGCAGTGAGACCCACAGGGCACTTACAGAGGAGGCCAGCCCTGGCCACCCACCTGTGTCAAAAGGACGGTGTCCAGGAGAGGGGTGTCCCCGGCTGGTAGATGCAGACGCTTTCTGCACAGGCGGTGGTCTTCAGGGAGATCTTGCTACCCTTTCATGTGTACAGAAGACATCACAACATGTCACTTTCTCCTTCTTAAGTCAAGCCAGTTAGTAAATGTGGCTCAGCTGGTAAAAAGCTGTGCGAGGAGCCAGTGACAATCAGGACTGTGAGTTTTCCACTTGCAAAAGAGGTCAGTGGTGTTTTATGAATACTACAGCCAGGTCCAGTTTTCTACAGTTTCGAAAGCATTGCATGTTCCTTATATTCAAGCTGCACGACCATCCAAAAGATATCATTGATTTATTTTATTTTATTTATTTTATTTTGCAGTGCTGGGCAAGCACTCACCACTGAGCTCCATCCCCAGCCCTTTTTATTTTGGTCTGAGACAGTGCCTTGTTAAGTTGCCCTGGCCAGCCTTGAACTTTGGATCCTCCTGCTTCAGCCACCCAAGCAGCTGGGATTACAAACCTGTGCCATCACACCCAGTTCATTATTCTCCTCCTTTTAAAGACAAGGAAACTAAAGTCCAAGAGGTTGAACCTTCTGTCCTAGGATCCCACAGCGAGTGCGTGGAAGGAGCACATCCAGCATGCGGGCATCTTGACTTCTCTTCTAGAGCATTCATAGCATGTTCACGCCTCGCTGCTCCTGGGAGGGTCCCCTAGGCTGGCAGTGAGCCGGGCGTCGTGCACACCGAGAAAATCTTCCACTGGGAACCTCCGGAGTGCAACTTCTTTTTATCCAGTTGTAGAACAGCACAAGTTTCCGGGTTGCTCTGCCACCCGAGTATGTCCATAGTGGGGACCTCCTGCTTGTGCTGTTGGTCTCTGGGGTCCTTGTGGCCAGGATGGCTGCCTCCATGTGCACAGAGCCAGAGGACACAGGCAACAGGAAAACTGAGTCTTTAGAGGCTCAGTAAATGAAAAACATGAATTGTAGAAAACCAGACCTGAGCCAGGAGTGGTGGCGCACTTCTGTAATCCCAGCACTCAGGAGGCTGAGGCAGGAGGATCACTGTGAGTTCGAGGCCAGCCTGGTCTACAAAGTGAGCTCGAGGCCAGCCTGAACTGTATAATGAGACCCCGTCTCAAAAAAGACAAAAAAAAAAAGACCAAAAAAAGCACACCTGAGAGAAGACTAGCGTGCAGCTGACCTGACTACAGAAAATAAACCTGTCCTCATTTCCAGGAGAGAAATGAAAAGAGGACCACAACGACGTAACCGCAGCCTTTAGCACCTAGGCAGGTTGTGAGAGCTGGCTGGGAGCAGCCCAGGGAGGGACTAGCGGCAGACCCCGTGCACCATGGCTTCCAGGGCAGAGCCCTGGCCTCGGTCTTGCCCTTGGCCCCGTACTTGACAGGCGCTGCCTTCTCACCCCCTCTGACCCGTTCCACGTCTGCCGCATTCCCACACTGGGGAAGGCTCTCCTTTTAATAGTCCTGGACAAAAAAGAAAAAGAGCAAGAAAAAAGAAAAACAGAGAGACCCCTAATAGTCAAGCATTTAAATCTCTACCGCAGGGGCTCTTGTCTTTCTTCCAAAGGACACAGAGCCCAAATCACTGTACATCACCTTAAGACCCCATTCCAATGCACTTCTCAGCTCTAAATCTTTGAGTTGCAAGTAAGAGACTTGGAGGCTCTTTGTGGAATAAATAGCTAGTAAGCCATTTAAGGGAAAAGATGACAAAATGCTTGATCAAAAGCCCCTCAAGTTCAGAAGCCCAGTCCTGGTCCCTTTCCCCTATGTCGCTGGGGCTGTGCATGTCAGTAATGGTTGCTCAGTCTCTATTTGCTTAATTGGATTAGGAACGGTTGCCTATGCCCTTTGAAATGCTGGACTTTCCACAGAGGGCTTTTCATTGGTTCAATATTTGCTCACCAAGCTGGACATCGTTAATGATCTGGATAAAAGCAGATTTACCTCGAGTTTGGGTCTGGAAAAGGAGAGAGAGACTGGGCCAAATTAAAATAATCTGTGTGCTGATTACGGCGTGCTCTATTTTCTCCTTATCTTGCAAAATCAAATTAAGCACCAGTGGAAAGAAATAGTTGAGGGAGGAATATGGGCAAGGAAAAAAAAGTGATTTCCAATGAGGCTGGAGATTTGTTCTTTATCAGCATGGTTGTGTTATTCATTTGATAGCATCTATCTCAGGGGTGTAATGTTATCTCTTGGCTGGGGCTGTGAAAGTTAAGATTTGCATTGATAGGAAAAGCTTTGCTGAAGTGTGGCCTCTGGAGAGGGTGGGGGATGGACAGGGAGGAGCGCTTTGGGTCTCAGAGTGGCCCTGCTGGAGGCTGATGTCACCCTCGTCAGTGAGGCCAAGCCGGGGGAGGCTGCTGGGCTTAGTGGATGACCAGTCACCCACAACCCTTGGAAAAAGAAATGACTCCGTTGAAGAGGCCATTCTTTCAATTTATCTCCCTGCTCCATTGAACCTCTGCCTATTTTGAAGCCAGCTGCTTGTCAGTGTTCTGCCTCTACGGCTAAACTTCCTTCTTCTCTATCTTCTGCCCCAGGGCCCCTCGCACCTTCCAAAACAGATCAATTAAATGTGCCTGCTGGCCTCCTCTCAACCCTCACAGCACATCTTCGGGATAAGATGCCCTGCGGGTCACTCTCTCACCTAAAAGAATAAAAACTGGGAATTTTAGACGCAGGGTGAGGGACAGATGGACACTGGAGTCCCCAGAGAAGAAAGATGAGGCCCACGGGTCTCTTTGTCCCCTCTGCGTGGTCTGTTGGGGCCACAGCCCCTTTTGGGGACCCTGCTGATCCCCGAGGTCTGTGGCTCTGCAGTTCTTGAAGGCAGTTTAAGAACTGCATGGACTTTGGAAGTTCCTGATGTTTGACTATTACCCTGCTGCACACACCGGGTGTGTCGTCGTCACATGATCTCATGTTTGTTGATGGAAATAAACAGAGAGTGGCTTTCAAAAACCATCCTCAGCGCCAGGGTTTGTCATAAAACCATAAATAGAAAAGCCCTTGGCGCGCCTGCCAACGTCTCCCTCCGTATCTGAGAGGTGGCAAAGCGCTGGCTGCACTCTATCTACAAACAAGGCATAAAACTTTTTATTTGTGCTCCACTGGACTTTGGGTTCCAAAACGTCGCTTTGTTTATGGTAGACGCATGTGGACTCATTCCTATAAGGACAAGAGCACACGGAAAGTGGTCATCCTGCGCTGCACGTGAAATGCAAAACCACTGTCGTGAGGCCAGTCCGAAGTTGTAAACGTCTGGGAAAAGTTTCTGTGCCCACTTACATGTGCGCTGTCTGATACTCACAGGGGCCCTCGGACGGAGGTGCCCCCGCCACCGGAAGGATCTCTCTCTTTGTAAATCCTACCCTTGCTGCCAGCGTGGCCCCTTTTGCTGTGGTCTTTACAGAAACCTGAACAAGCTGCAATTTGCAAGCGGGGTCCTTACAAGAGGAGATTTGGGGGGAGCAGGTAATCTCCATGGTTCCTGGGGTCATTCATCCGTGTATCAGCGTTCATAAAACACACTATTGTACTGCCAGGACCGTCAGCAGTGGCTGAAGATGTAGCAGATCTGGACCAACAGTAATCTCTTCAGAGAATAAAGGAAAGGTGATCAGGGTGAGGTAGGGCTTTGCCCAGCACGCGTAAGGCCCCGGGTTCCATCCCCGGCAACAGAAGCGTTAATAATATTCTCCCTGTTAAGAAAAGAACCACTGCACGTAGCGCACTTTCCCAGGGTCGGACCCCCTTGGCCAGCACCCTTGTTACCCAGCGCGCTCGTTTGGCTGCCGCTGGATGGATTTGCAGAGCTGTGGCTACCGGCCTAGCTCACTTGCAAGCGGAGAATCCCTCGAAGTCTTCCTTTGTCTTACGTCTCTAACCTACCTGGGGAGATGGAATCACAGCTGACAGCCTCTCCAGCTCGGCCTCTGTCGCACACAGCAGCTCCTCAGGAAACACGCTCAGAAGTGCTTCTGGCACCTTCCAGGAGAGGGTGATGCTCTTGAAGAGGAGGCGTGACAACGCCTGGAGAAGTCCTGAAAGAAGATTCAGCCAGCCATCCGGCCGGAGGGGACAACGACTCCAGGCCAGCTGCTGCGCACCTGTAATCCCAGGACACGGGGCTGAGGCAGGAGAATGGCGAGCTCAAGGCCAGCCTCAGCTACACAGCAAGTTTCAGCAGCCTGGGCTCCACAGGGGGGCCCTGTCTCAAAACAAAACAAAACAGAACAAAACAAAAAGAGTAACTATCTGACTTCGCGGTGTCTTAGCTTCAGTTTGTTTATGCAGAGTCAGGGAATGATGGTGCAGGGACCCTGGAAGACCCTTTTGTTCTGGAAACACAATGGTTCTCAACGAGAGAATGCTGGGAACCCCTGGGCAGAGCAAGGAGCCTGAGGAGACCATGCCACCAAAATAAATTACATCTGATGCATCCCTGCAGAGAAATTTGATTTCTCTTACGGAAACCATTTTGCTCTTCAGGAAGAATGCTGGGTGCAGGTTCAGCTTTCGTCCTTCCCTGGTCACCCTTTCCAGGTCTGTCCAGTACGTGACAAGCACAAGCCACCGGGTGCGGTATCTGAACCCTCTGTTAACCCCAATCTCAAAACACCAACTCTGCGAAACAACTCAGAAGTCGCTGATCCCCCTCCCATGCGGCAGAGCGTCCGATGACCCTGTCCACGTTAAGCAGACGTGTGAGCATGCGCCTTGCTTTGTACCCCGTGTGAGAGGCAGCCGCGGGAGGAGCGCGCTTCACGGGGGACACTGACCCAGAGCAGGATGGCCGAGTTGACGACTCGGGCTTAGGATTCAACTCTCCGTCCAGTCCAGAAGGCAGGGAACCCTCCTCTTCTTCCGACATTAGAGTCAAGGAGATCCTCGAAGTAGGGAAAACGATGGTGAACCCGACCACCTGAAGTCTAAGCCCTGGGGACCTGCTCGCTGAGGGTCACACTGGAAGTCTGACGGACCCACTCATCGGCGCAAAGAACCAGTCAACTCTAAAAATGTACAAAGAACAGCCTCCTGGGGCAGAACTAGGGAAAACAACAGCAAAAACTTCCTCCCGGTGTTCATTAGCTTGTCAGTACCCAGCATTCTCTGCACCTCTAGAGAAAATGCTAGAGGTCTTTTTTTTTTTTTTTTTTAACAATGGCACTGAAGCCAGGCAGGGTGGCACAGGCCTATAATCCCAGCACTCAGGGGGCTGAGGCAGGAGGATCTTCACTAGCTCAAGGCCAGCCTGAACCAAATAGCAAGACCCTGTCTCCCAAAAAACCAAAACAAACAAATAAACAAAAAAGCCCTCCGTCTGGCTCAGCATGGTAGTGGGGGTGCTGGTTCCCTTCTCCGTCCTTGAGTGTTTACTGCCAGGAAATCCTGAGCAACACTGATTGCCAAGGGGTTAAAGTCACATTGTTGTTAAATTGGGAGAGAAAATTAGCAGGATTTGGTGCCCTATGTCCAACTATCCCAGAGTTTCAAAAACAGGAACCTGGGGCTTTATACAAGGGGACAGGGGAAGTCGGGAAGAGTCACAAGGGTGACTTAGCGGGGCACAGGTCCAGATACTCGCTCGGTGGTGGTGGAAGGACCTCGTGCACACACTGTGTGCCAGGAAGCGAAATGGCAACGCAGAGGCCTGGCCTGGTGCTGAGCAGGCAGCTGCGGGGTTTCCGCCTTCGCCCCTGGAGTTCGAGGAGCCTTGAGATGCCCCAGGGCCGCCCACCTCTGTGGAGCTCTACGCAAGGACAGGAGGGAGACAGAGAACTCCTGGCTGTGCACCTTGCCTTTCAGAGCAGCCTGCCGCAAAGCTGAGGAAGTGATGCGTGCTATTGATTAGCTGATCCATGAGGACAGATACTTTAAAAAGTTGAGCTCAGGGCTGGAGGTGCAGCTTCATGGGTCCCGGCCCCAGGCCATCAAAAACGAAAAAGAAATCAAAACCGTTTTTCTGCGTCGCCACCTTTTGTGGTGCTTACCGCAGGCCTCCTGCATCTGCTCTCTCTGAAACAGATGGCTTCCAGAGCATTCAGGAAGAAATGGATGTTTTCCTGGCTATTTCTAATCTGCTTTTGGAGTGATTTGTATAGTGAAGCCTGTTTTATATGCACACTGTGTCTCATTTCTGATCTGAGTAGATTTAATCTAAAACTGCAAAATTATTCTCTGTTCAACTGGCTCTTTCTAACCCTGGTTGCTGAATTTGTTTTTTAATGAAAGAAGGTGAAAAAATGTATCCTGTTGAAAGCCAGAATAAACAATAGATTTTTTTAAAAAATCATTTTAGAAGTTAAACAAGCGGGGCATGGTGGCGAACGCCTGTAATCCCGGGTCTCTGGAGGCTGAGGCAGGAGGCTTGCCATGAGTTTGAGGCCAGCCTGGGCAATATAGTGAGTCAAGGCCTTGAGATCTATCTCAAACAAAAAATACCTAGAAAACCCTAGTAAATGATAAATAAACATCAGACAACAGAAATCAGAATTATGAGCTAGTCATAGGGGAAGTGTTAACAGCTTCAGTTGCAGGGAAAGAATAAAAATTGGCGAATCATGTGGTGCCCCAGATTATAAAGATGAATAAGAAGATGGACCACTTTGAAAGGGTTTTCGCTAGCCAAGCGAATGGACATAAGGCAGTTTCCTGATCCAGGCTGGTGTAGGCCATGGGTGAGAAACCGCCAACTCAGCCACTCTCCCCCTTTTCGCCTGCAGCCGTTTGTCATCTACGATATGAACTCCCTGATGATGGGCGAAGACAAGATCAAGTTCAAGCACATCACACCCCTGCAGGAGCAGAGCAAGGAGGTGGCCATCCGCATCTTCCAGGGCTGCCAGTTCCGCTCGGTGGAGGCCGTGCAGGAGATCACGGAGTACGCCAAGAGCATCCCGGGCTTCGTGGGCCTCGACCTCAATGACCAGGTGACCCTGCTCAAGTACGGCGTGCACGAGATCATCTACACCATGCTGGCCTCGCTCATGAACAAGGACGGCGTGCTCATCTCCGAGGGCCAGGGCTTCATGACCCGCGAGTTCCTCAAGAGCCTGCGGAAGCCCTTTGGTGACTTTATGGAGCCTAAGTTTGAATTTGCGGTGAAGTTCAACGCACTGGAACTGGACGACAGCGACCTGGCCATATTTATAGCCGTCATCATCCTCAGCGGAGGTAAGAGAGCTCTGACCCTCGTTGGAGGTGGCGGGGGAGGAGGAGGAGGAGGCTCCATCTGTTTCCGGCTGGTCCGCGTTCCTCTTCCCTCTGCGCTTGCCCCACTTTTCATCCAGAGAACCCCAGTGGCACGACGCGTGGTGGGTCCCTGCTTGTGTTACGTGTCACCTACAGAGAAGGAGGGCCGTAGGTCTGCTGAGTGGAGGCCGTGGGCACCTGGGCTCGTTGCTTTATCGATCGCAATATTTCTTTTTGCCTCAGCCACACCCAGTCATGGAAGATAGACACTCTCTTCTCCTTTTTTATGTTTTTCCCCTGTGGTTTTCCTTTTCTTCCCAGAAGGCCAGTCCAACCCTCAGTTCAATAAGGAAGGATATGGCTACCTTAGCTAGCACCCGCATGCCACAGAAAAGGTACTGCTGTGGCCTGTAGGGTTTAGGGGCTGGGCAGAGTGGCACATGCCTATAATCCCAGCTACTTGGAGGCTGAGGCAGGAGCGTCTTGAGGTCAGCCTGGGCTAAGTAGCAAAAACAGTGAAGTAAGTCAAGGACTGTGCTTCTGCTGACCTCCACCTGCTCTGTCCTGCAGATCCCCGGACAGCCGGCTCCCCTCCCCTTAGGTCCCTTTGTGGGGTGGTTGGCTGCGATTAAGAGTAATGTGAACCACAGAACACAGCAGAGAAATCAATTGAGTTGTTTGTTGAATTTTTGGCCTTGCGAGTCCATGATCTAATAACCAAGTCTAAGAGCCAGGTTTTATACTCAATGGGACTTTCTTTAGCCTCTCTCGTGTTTTCAGGTAGAGCAGAAGAAAATCTTCCTTTCATCTCTCAACATAAAACATTGCTTAAAGTTATTTTTTCTCAGATTGAACCCAGGGGCTCTCTACCATTGAGCTACATCCCAAGCCTTTTGATTTCTTTTAAAACAGGATCTCACCGTTGCCCAGGCTGATCTTCAACCTGGCTTCCTCCTGCCTCAGCCTCCTGAGTAGCTGGGATTCCCGACTGCCCCATCATGCACAGCTTGCTTTTATTTTGGGAGTCTGTTTGCTTGTTTTGTAGTGCGAGGGAGCAGACCCAGGCCTCACCCATGCTGGCTGAGCTACACCCCAGCCAGCAGATGGCTTTTACCTGAGAAGTACCCTGCTGAAGTGGACTTGGGATGAGCAGTCCACATAAGGGTGCGGGGCTCAGTGTTTGGTGCTGGTGACAGCAAAGGCCGTGGGAAAGCCATCTCCAAGTACATGCATGCAGCCCAGGGGGGTGACTCTGTCTTCCAGAGCTTCCAGGGCCTTATGATGTACATCTGGACAACCCCAAAGCCTTGTGTGCTTGGAGGCAGGGCTTTGGCAAGAGAATTAGACCACTCATGGTGATACTTCTGCCTCAGCCTGCCAAATGCTGGGATTACAGGTGTGCACCACCACATCAGCCAAGGCGCCTTTTTTTTTTTTTTTTTTGTCTTTTTGAGACCATGTAGTCCAGGCTGCCCTTGAACTCACAGTAATCCTCCTGCCTCAGCCTCCCAAGTGCTAGGATCACAAGTATGCACCACCATACCAAGCAAGGCACCATTTTTAATGAGTGTAAAATATTCTTTTTATATTGCATAGTAAATTATCTCCCTGTATATGTTTAGGTCACTTATTATGTCTTAGTTTTTAAAAACCTATAAAGATTGTTCAAAATGTGTTCTAAACGTTGCTGCAGTGAAAATTGTTACGTGTAAACTTCCATCCACAATTCAGATGATTTTTTTAAATTATCAGAAATGGAATTGCTGCCTACGAACATTTTGAATTTTATTGTTTGTTGCCAGACTGTGTTGCATAAAGTTTGTAGCAGCTTAGCTTCCCTGCACTGACACCAAGGAAAGTGTCTGAAATGAGCCACACGAAAGTGCTTGGGTCCTCAGTAGGAGCAGCCTAGACAGGAGCAATCAGAGCACTGGGTGCAGCTCAGAGGTGGAGTGCTGGTCTGGTGTGCTCAGGGCGCTGGGGTCCAGCCCCAGCACTAGGGACAAAGTCTGTGATTGGTCAGGAAATAGTTCTGCATGGAATAGATTGGCTTTAACATTGCTTTATTGGGTCTGACTCATATTCGTTCTTGAAAATTAAAAAGGCTGCTATTGGATGCTGACGTTGTATATATAAATTCTTTTTAGCCTTACGCAAGCCAGGGTCACCATAGTTCCCCCCAGAGCTTGTTGTGATCCTCACAAGAAAAGAACTCTAAAGGGAACAGCCTGCCAGAGTTAATTAAAATCTTTTTTTACATTTGAGACAAGGCCTTGATATGTAGTCTCGGCAATCCTTAAACTATGTGGCCCAGGCTGCCCTCAAACTTGCAATTCTCCTGCCTCAGCCTCCTGAGTACTGAGATAACCAGTCTGTATTACCATGATTGGCTTTAGAACCCTATGATAAAGAGAGAACCCAGTATAAGTTTAGACTTCCTGGGGAAAAAACAATTTACCATTGCCTCCTTCCTACATCACAAAAGTCAAATCATTCCTTAACCAGAGTTTACTCTTGTAGATGAAGTCTAAATACAGGCAGCAGATAAGAATGAATAAACTGGACCCCGTGTTTGCCCAGCTCACAGGAATGTGATTTCCTTACTCAGAGAAACTGCTGGGTGCAGGCCAGGCAAAAGCGCCACCCAGCAGACGTTCCCTGCCCAAAGCCTGGCTTCCAGGAAGGTGGCGGCCATCCGTCGGTGTGGGATCAGTGGGCCAGACTGTGGTTTATTAGCTTCACACTGAGTTTCTCTCCCGTCTTAGAACTCCAGAAAGGGAAAGCATGAGTGGAGATAAGAGGCTTTGACCCACTGGACCAATGTGTGATCCGGCCCCGTCTTGGCCAGAGCGATGCTCTTCTCTGCAGTTTATCCGGAAGGCTATCGATTCCGTTAGTGATATCAGAAGTGCTTTGGCAGGGCCTCGGGTGATGTCATCCTGAGCCCCGGATGCAAGGAAGAGCTTCAGCCTGGTGGCCTCGGCCCCTGGACGGAGGGCACCATGGGGGAGCCAGGCACTGTGTAAGAGCAGGGTAGCAGGGACCAGGGATTCTCAGCGAGGCCCTCACAGGTCCCAGAGAGGGCTTTTTGGGTGTTTTGGTATTTTTGAGACAAGAAACTTGCTAGGTAGCCCAGGCCAGCCTTGAACTCATGATTCTCCTGCCTCAGCTTCCTGGGGGATGGGATTATAGGCGTGGGCCACTCCTCTAATCCCAGCACCCAGGAAGCTGAGGCAGTGAGGATCATGAGTTCAAGGCTGGCCTGGGCTACCTAGCAAGACGAAGCTGGGGCCCACAAGGGCCTCCTTGAAGTTCTGGCAAATGGCAGCCGCCCTGAGCGCCGCTGTCCTCCCGGCTCACGTGGGGCGGGGGTGTCAGGAGTGACAACGCTGCCCCCAGCAAGGGCGTGTTTGCATCCAACGCCGCAGCCCCGAGCCAGCTCTGCTAGCAGGCAAGCCACTGGCCAAGTGCGAAGCCTGGGAAAGCTGACAAGCCCCGGGGTGTCCGCGGGATGTCACCCCCTCACCGGGTGCCTTTTCATGGAGAGAAGCCTGGGAGGGCTCCTTCCAGCTGGAATGCAGCAACAGGAAAAGCCTTTTTCTGCTAATGCAAAACAGTTTGGAATCCATTTCAGTTCTTCTTAAACTTCCAAGGGATGAGAGAGGGAATTCACTGGGGTTTGCAGTGTACTTTTGAAGGCAGATTGCCATTGCTGCCTGAATGACGGAAAAGCTACAGAAATCACAATGGCCATGGGCGGGAGGTCCTCGGCCTCCACGGTGATCCTCGAGAGTCCAGCATGGATAGACAAGCCACCTACCCAGCAGCTCCTCCTTTACCGGCTCTGAAGCAGCTCTGGCCCGTTGTTCTTTTTTTTTTTTTTTTTTTTTTTCCGGTTTTTTGGTTTTTCTCCAGTACCAGGAACTGAACTCACGACCTTGCGCTTGCCAGGCAGGCACTTTTGCCGCTGAGCTAAATCCCCAGCCCCTTGGCCCATTGTTCTTACAGTGAACAGAAAGGAGAGGATAGAAGGAGGAACTGTTCCCATAAGGACACATGTCCACGTCAAAGAGGAGTGGGCATTCTGGGCCAATTCGATAGCAGTTCTGTCAGTAACCTGGGACCCTGCAGGGCACCTTGAGTCATGACCGGATGGATGGATGGGTGGATGGGTGATGGATAGTATGAATCTATGGGTAGATGGAAAGATGGATGGAGGGATGGAGGGATGGATAGATGCATAGACAGATGGACAAATGGATGGATGGATACCCTTTATAATTTTTTTTAGAATTAAAATAGAACCAAACCACAATATTTGGCCCAGAGTAAGTTCACAAATGTTTATGGAATGAATAATGATCTGTTTTGTTTTGGTTTTTGTCTTTCTGAGACAGGGTTTCCCTATGCAGTTCAGGCTGGCCTTGAGCTCAAGTTGTAGCCCAGGCCGGTCTCAAACTTGCAATAATCCTCCTGCCTCAGCCTCCCACAGGCATGGGATTACAGGCATGTGCCACCACACTTGGCATGAGACAACCATAATAACCACCATCTGTTGAGTACTTCCGTGTGTATCAGATGCATGCTGATGCCTCATCCATAGCCACAATCTTGTTTAATCCTTCCTGCAGCTCTGCATGGCCCGTTATTACCGGACTTTACTGATGGAGGAAATGGAAGTTTAGTGTGATTAAGCAACTTGCTCAAGGTCACAAGGTTCAGACCCAGATCTTTTGGACTTTAAAAATAGCACACCCAGGGTGTGAACGGTCAGGCTTTCTGGAAAAGAAGCGACTTGGTAATCACATATGCAATGTCTCAGTGAGTATTTAATATGTGTTCCCATCAGTCAAAAAAAAAAATAGCACACCCAGAACTGGGGTGCAGCTAGTGGTGAGTGCCTGCCTAGCATGCAGAAGGCCTTGGGTTCTGGGCCAGCACTGGGAAAAAGTACACTTCAACATTAGGTTCTGTGGCCTTTC